GCCACCTACAGAAAATCAACAGAAAATTCAACACAGGATTTTTCAAAATGAGTGAAAATCTGCTCCAAAAACAACACAAAGTTTGTGTGGTAACAAAGCAATAAATCAAAATCAATTTGTTATGAAAATCTTTCCTATTAATCGGAGTAATGTGCATTCACTCAAGAACTGTACTGAAGTACAATTTGTAGGTACTTGACTTCGTATTTTCATTTAATGCTTGCTTATACTTCTTCTTTGCAACACTTCAGGGGGGAAATATTGTTTTTCTCGTTCCAACAAATCACTTTGACAGCATTTACTTTACTTTGCATTAAAAAAAAAAACATACAATTGGCTTATAAAATACTGTGCAGAGATAAAGATTAAACCAGGCTTTTTGCAGAATAGTGTCTGGTTGGGGATCTTTGTAATGTTTGGGATGTGTAGGAGTTGTTTGAAGCTTCTCATAATTCTTTATTTAACCTCGTAATAGTTTCATGCTGGGCAGTTAAGCTTTGTTTAATTTCTCAGTGTAATTCTCACAAAGATTTACTGAAAGTTTGAAACAAGTGGATACTGTCAGAGTGTAAAGCGGCTTCAAGGACAACACAAGAGGAAACGTAAATGTAAAGGGAAATAACCTCTCAAATGCTAAAAAGGTAAAAATTATAAATTGGGAATTCCCAAAAAGAAAATGCAAAAATACACACAAGTGCAAAAAATCTACCCATGTTTGTGTAGAATATTTGTTTTTTCTTTCCTACCTAGAACATATTTATCTTGAGACCCTCTGTAGGAGCCGGACCATGAGGTTGAGGGCTGATTGACTTACTACCCAACTGTATATTAAGTAGTTAAAACTAGCTTTTTATCAATTAGTCACACTGGTAAAGTGCATCTGCATTTACAATCTAACAAATAACTGATATTTTTCTGCATTTTTCTGCAGAGTAAGCTCTTTTACTTTTGATATTTTGCTTTTTTTTTCTAATAATACTTCTGCACTCTAGTAGGATTTTGACTGCAACAGTTTCAATTCTAGTGGAGTGTTTTGGTGTTGATATACTTGTACTTTCTTTGATTAAATGATCTGAGTTCTCCCTCTACCTCTGTCCAGGTTGCACCAGAGACGCGTGCCGTCATCAGCTGGATGCAGGATATCCCCTTCGTGCTCAGCGCGAACCTCCATGGTGGAGAGCTGGTGGTCACGTATCCCTTCGACTGCACCCGCGACTGGGCTCCTCAGGAGAACACCCCCACGGCAGACGACGCTTTCTTCCGCTGGTTGGCCACCGTCTACGCCTCGACTCACCTGGTGATGGCCAACCCCGACCGCCGCCTCTGCCACTACGAGGACTTCCAGCAGCACAACAACATCATCAACGGCGGCGCCTGGCACACCGTCCCCGGCAGTGAGTCAGATCTGTGAATCAGGGGAGGACATCTGAGAGTCATCAGGCCAGAAATGCTGCGTAGCGCTTTGAGCAGGATGTCGTCTGTTTTCTGTTAATGTAGGAATAAAAAGATGACAACAAAAATGCACAAACATCCTTTTAAAACATTGTCCTTTTAATTTAAACTAAGGACACTGAAAACTCTAATTTCAGCTTGTTTTAGTTTGCAAAAAATGCCTCTTATGTTTCTTAAATTAAATATTTGAGGCCCTTAATCACTGTAGGCACTGATTGATGAGAACAGCATCTATTATTACTATTATTTTGCCCTAACAAGGATCAAACGCAGCTGTTTTACCTTTAAACTTACTAATTCTATCAACATTTCACTATAGTCTTCATTTGAAATGCTGAAAAGTGTTGTAAGATAAAGATTTTTGTTGCAGAATGAATAATTTTGTCTCAAATGTCAGTAATTTAAGTTGAATTGATTGGTTTACTTGTATAGCAGTGGCCATTTAAAAAAAAAAAATCAATATAGAAGCTTTCAATAAAACTTTGCGGGTTTTTTATGTTAAAGAAATTCAAAAAGGGAAATAAAATAAAAACAAAGACAAAATATTTATCAATTAATGTTATATTTGTTGTGTATATATTCCTAATTTTACATTAAATTGGGGTACAGACAGATATTTAAAATCATGCTTTTCTATCTTTTTACTCTTACAATAAATGTATATATATTTTTCCCTCCGGTGCACTGGACTCATCTGCAAAGCACAGCTTTATGCATTGTTAAATTTCCATCTCATGGAACAAACTGGCTTTCTCTATTTCTGAATTGTGTTTTCTGTAGGTATGAATGACTTCAGTTACCTGCACACTAACTGCTTTGAGGTGACGGTGGAGCTCTCCTGCGATAAGTTCCCTCATGTCAGCGAACTTCCTGTCGAGTGGGAGAACAACAAGGAGTCACTGCTGGTTTACATGGAGCAGGTCAGTCTGTGTCCACTGGGTTCACCTGGACAGAGAAAGTGACACAAATCAGCAGTTGGACCACGAAGCTGCGACCGTCCTAAACGGCAGCTTTGAAATCCAGCAGCAGCTCACAGTGCAGCGTTTTCTCCTCCTTCAGGTTCACAGAGGGATTAAAGGTGTCGTCAGGGACAAGATCACCAAACAGGGAATAGCAGACGCTGTGATCAAGGTGGAGGACCACGACCACGACATCCGATCAGGTCGGTCACTCGATTTTATTTATCGTTAGTTTAGACATATACACTTCTTGTATTAGAAGATCCTGTCAGCCTCTCAGCATCATAAAAAGAACCAATTTTAACCAGTGTTGAATGCTGATAAACTGCAAAACTGCAAAACTGCAAACTGCAAAAACCAACCAGATGTAGCAGGATATCTAGCTATTTCTGATATCCTACATTTCACATACTATGTATTGGGAAGGTGGCGCAGTTGGTAGCACTGTTGCCTCGCAGCAAGAAGGTTGCCGGTTCGCGTCCCGGTGGGGGCACCGGAATCTTTCTGCGTGGAGTTTGCATGTTCTCTCCATGCAGCGTGGGTTCTCTCTGGGTTCTCCGGCTTCCTCCCACATAGTCCAAAAAACATGTTGAGGTTAATTGGTGATTCTAAATTGTCCGTAGTGTGAATGTGAGTGTGCTTGGTTGTCTGTCTCTAAGTGTAGCCCTGTGATAGACTGGTGACCTGTCCAGGGTGTCCCCTGCCTTCACCCTGAGTCAGCTGGGATAGGCTCCAGCCCCAACGCGACCCTAATGAGGATTAAGCGGTGTATAGAAAATGGATGTATTGGGATGTATTAAATCTTTATTTGACACATGGTACAGTATGGTATTGTGTATATTGGAATGCGCCCTCAGTCACTCTGTACTGACGGGTATTGTGGGAAATGTAACAAGTCACTATGCTAACGTATATATGCTAATGTATATTTAGATACAATAAAAAGGGCATTCTAAAGGTGCATTAACCTGGAAACCTTTACAGGAACATTGCATTTACATTTTGGCTGTAGATGCAGCAAAATCAATTATTGTTTTCGTCTATATCTCACTTTTACCTCCTGTAGCTGCTGACGGTGACTACTGGCGTCTCATGAACCCCGGCGAGTACAAAGTGGTGGTTTGGGCCGAGGGTTATTTCCCATCCATGCGTCGGTGCCACGTTGGCATGGAGCCAAATCCCACCATCTGTGACTTCACCCTCACCAAAACGCCCATCCAGAGGCTGAAGGAGATCCGGGCCAAAGGAGGGAAGATCCCGCAGGACCTTCAGCTGCGACTTCGCGCCCTGAGGCTCCGCAAGCTTCGCGCCAGCACCAAGGCCATCAACCGCCGCAGGGAGAGTCAGCAGCTGCAGAGGAGGAAGGCTCGATCCTCCGGAGCCTGGAGAGTATGAGAGGATACGGGACGACAGAGATGACCTGGATCACGGGATGAAGAAGAAACTGATGAAACTGCTGTCTGGGAAATGTTTTTAACTATGAAGTGTCGGTTCACTCGATTAACAAAAAAATACCAAATATGAAAACATGCAGATAGTCTTACGTGCTGAGGCTTTAAATATGTCTCGGAGACATTTACTTTCATCTGTGTGGTGATTTCAGCTTTAAATACTGCGCTGTATTTGGGTGTATTGACCCTTTAGAGCAGGTTACCCCAGGACTGACAGGCACAAGCTCGTACAAAAGAGGACAAAAGACCAAAACAGGACACGGACATCTAATCCAAATACTCAGAGAAGTCACACAAACAAGTTCCTCGGATGATGAATTGATTTTCCTTTTTCTTCTTCTGTTTTTTGTACATTAACTGAGTTGAGGATTTCAGTGTCAGCTGGCCTGATATGTCACATTTTTTCTATCACTGTTTGTTTTATTTTTTTTGACTGGAGTCCAACAGGACCACAAACTCAAATAAATATTTGTGTTTTCTAGTGTTACCAAGTGTCTTAATGTGGGCTTTTGGAGTTCAAGGAAACTAAAATGAGGTCACAACATGGGAGGTCAAGACATGAGATGAGTGATGACATAGAAAAGAGGAGGAAACTTTGTTTACAGCCACACAAGCAGCACATAATTAGCACTTGCATTAACTATCTGAGGTGTACATTGATCTTTATTTTTTATTTTTTTAAGTTTGGCTCATGTCCTATGACAGCAGAGATGTATGACCTATACTGTGACCAGCCATCAGGGAGTAATTGAGGTATTTTGGCCTGACGTCTGGGGAGCTTTCATATCATCCATCTTTATATAGCATCTATGCCAAATTTAGTGGTTAAGATATTCTCATCTGGAAGTTGTGGACCCACTGACCCCTGCAAATTCAAGCTAGCAGGGGTAAAAACTCATGGATAAACAAAGGTGTATTCTTCTATTTCTGTCTTGTGAAATACACCAATGTTTTATGCGTCCTTGCTCCTTAATTAAACTGCTTGAAGTTTATGAACATAAGCAGCCTGCAAAGAAAGAGGTCACAAGAAGGTATTTGAAACTTTAGAAAGCCTTAACCTGAAATAAAAACAGTGGGAACCGGTACGTCAGAGCAAAGGCAGTCTATCAAGTTGGGAGCAATTCAACCAGAATCTGATTAGTTTCTTTCTTTTAATGTTTTATTTGATTTTTTAAAATTATTTTTTAAAACTCACAGGACATAATCATAAAACCCAATTTATGCCATCTCTCTGAACTAGTTGATCTCACGACCCCTCGAAGGGCCCCGACCCACATGTTGGGGACCACCGGTTGATATGGGTTTTTCCTCAATTCTCAGCACTTCATATGCAAAGTTTCAACACAGGAATAAAAAAAAAAAAAAATACAGTTAAAAAAAATGAAAATACTGAACCCAAACATTGAACAGTCAGCAGTGCAAAAGAAGCTAACTTTTATTTCTGTGATAGTAAGTACCATTTTTAGTATCACTGGTCGGATTACTTGCTGTAAATAGCCATGTAGGAAACAACAGTGCCAACAACTCAACATGTTTTCATGTCTTGTCCACTTTTCCTTCAGCTGTGGTGAACACAACAGAACTACTGCCAACATTCATTTAACCCACAGCTGAACACAGGTTTAAAACCCAGAACTGGAACAAAACAAAACAAACAAACAAAGAAAAAAAATGAATTCTAAAGGATGAACCCGGGTTTTTAAGTTGCTATACCTGAAGTGAAAATGGCAGATAAGACACTTCTCTGGGAAGAGCTTGTGAGTGTAATTGAAATAAAAGCAGCAGTGAATAAACGGCATCCTTCAACATTCAGCTCAGTCAATTTTAAAAAGAAACGTAGCAGAGGAGTGCTGGAGGAAATCTGGGTCTGTAATATGTTATAAACATGAGGAATTACGCTACTCCAGAAAAGAAGAAGTCCCTGAATTGACGGAGCTGAAGGTAACATGGAGCCCCACATAGTGGAAAAAAACACACACATTGTTTTTTTTTGAGAAGTTAACTGAGGTACAAAGTGTTAAAAGCATCCTTTCTCTTTACTTACAGGACCATGTTGTGAGCTGGGAACTGTAGAATAACATCTGCTGTTTCCACAATTTCACGTTTTCCCCCTTTAAAAACACACAATTTCTCGAGTAATAATTTTTTTTTCTGGCGGCGAGTTTACGGCTAATACGAAGCCACCGATAGCAGCCGATTAGCATTAGCCTCGTAGCACAAATGGAAAGCGACAGAAAACAGCTAGCCTAGCTTTGTCTAATGGCAACAAAACCTAGCTACCTGCACATTTGAAGCTCAAAGATGAACATTTTTTCTCTTGTTTGTTTCAAATGTACAATACCGAAGTGTAAAAACGACAATTTGTCACTTATTCGGTTATGTGTCAGTATGTCAAAGCAGTTGCCAGGCAACCAGAACGTACGTAATAGTTGGGTCCCAAAAATTGATTATTTTTATTTTTACGCTTCACTTACTTACGAATTAAACAAATATAAATATAACCGTTAATTACTGTTTTTTAGAGGTGCTTTTTGAGCATTTTGTAAATGCTGCAATAAGCTAGGAAAGCTGTATTCAACATTTACAGTTTTTGTGCTAAGCTAACCGGCTACTAGCTTTGCCATTTACAGTCATTAGCTAAGTCAGACCACTTCCTGGATGTTAAATTGTACAAGTGGCTGTTTTTAACTTCAAAGTGTGAGAAAGGCCACAGATTAAAGCTGCAACAATTAATTGGTTGGTTTTCAACTATGAAGTTAATTTTAAACTATTTTTACAATTGATTAATCAGCTTGAGTAATATTTTTAAAAGAAAAAAAAAAGGTCAATATTCTCTGATTCCAGCTTCTTAAATATTGATATTATATTGTTTCTTAAATTCTCTGTGACAGTACACAAAATATCCTTGGGTTGTGGTCAAAACAGGATATCTGAAGACATCTTCTTGGGCTTTAGGAAAAACTGATCAACATTTTTCACTATTTTCTGACATTTTATAGATTAAACTCAATCAGCAGTGGAAATAGTAATTGTACTTGCAGCTCTACTGCACATGTGCAGCCTTAAAAAACTAAAAAAATCAGGTGCAGGTTGTTCGAAACGCATCACGATGAAAGCCATAATTTCTTACAACATCTTGAGAAAAGTAAGTTTGCAGTTTGATTCATGATTTGGATTTTAAAAGCTGCAAATACTCACTTTAAAGATGTGAAAACAGCACTAATGCACATGAAAAATAAACTAAAACATGCAGGATCTGAATACTGGCCGGTTTGTACCGTAATGTCAACAACCACTTGTTCAAAATAACAATGCAACAAAATCTGGTCCAACACTGGAGCTGAACAATTAATCGATTGACTGTCGTATCAATGCTTTCACAAACTGTGTGACAGTCATGCTTTTGATGGTTTCCCGCTGTAATGCTTCAACATATATTTACTACACAGTAAACATTGAGCTGAAGCCTCACAGTAAAGAAATATACTGCAAGTAAAATCACAATATATCGTTCAGAAAAACTGCAGTTAGACATTTTCCATATCGTTCAGCTCTATCAAACACCATAAAGACATGAAAATAGTCCATCAGAAAGCCTGTTTCCTAAAAATTTAAAAAATTCCTTTAAAAATTAATATTTTTTTCCCCCATTTTTGAATAGCAGATGTTTTCTTTTCGCTCTCAGCTCACGGTTCACTACAGACAACTCCAAGCAAAAAAAACAAACATATTTTGGCATCTGATAGCTCAAACACAGAGCCTGGCATAAACAAGAAAGGAGAATCTTCATAAAGGCGGGTATGCATAGTAGTATAGGCTTACGTCTACTGGTTTTTTTATGTTTACCTAACAGCGAGTTATTATCTATTCTGCGGTCAGTCAGTATGTTACTGCAGTCAGTTTACAATCAGGCGTGTGCTTACAGCAGCTATACTACACTGGTTGAAAACACAAAAGCGTTGCTGATACTAAAACAGTCAAAGCGCTCAGTAGCGAGGGAGAGAAAAAAAAAAAAGCCTGGGTGGTCAAAATGGTGCGAACGAAATAAGGTTCAGGGACAGAAAACACATCTCATGTTTCTTGGCAACAGGTAAATAAACGAGGAGGCTAAAGAAGAGAGCTGGCAGTATTTTACATTTTTCTTGGGGTGAATAAATCCTTACAATAACAATGAGTTAATCCTGCGAGTATTACCTGTTCTTTCAAAAATATCTTATCCCTCCCATGTTATCCACAAAACTATTAAAAACACATTAGCGAGCCACACTGTTTGAACTTTCTGTTGCTGGAAATGCTCGTTAGTGCAGTATTCTGCTGCTGGAAGTAGCCCTAAATATATACTATAAAAGCCAGATGTTTTATTTGTTCTTTAAGATGGAAAATGTATAATAATGCCAGCCGTATCTTTTGGGAAAGAAATTGCAACTAGAATTTTGTTTGTGCAAAAAAAAAAAAAAAAAAAAAAGGTCTGGAAATGGAGATACTGACAGCAGCTGGACTTCTTTTTTCTTTTTTAAAAATTGTCCAGACAGCATGAAGTTTTTGTTCACAGGTTCAAGATTTAAAAACACACAAACTGCGAAGAGAAATGAGAACTGATTCCAAAGTAAAAGTGAGCGCAGAGTCAAACAGAACACCGTGCTACGAGTAGTGCCGACATGATCACACCAATAAAACCGCTAAAAACCGACGGGGAGTGTGAAGACGGGAACGGGGCGGAAAAGACAAAACTAAGAAAGGTAAAAGGCGTTGATGACGACGAGGTCCTTGAAGTCGGGAGTTCGGATTGTATGAGCAGAGAAGCAGCACCAGTGGAAAGAAAAGGCATGAGCAGAGCAGCAGAGAGCGACACGATGCGCAGCGGAGGACGCTTCAGGATTCATGGGTTATCATCGGTCTGTTTGCATCCTTAGTGTTTATTTGTCCTGAGACAGCAACGTCTGGATGTGCCGAGTCTCAAAAAAAAAACAAAACAAAAAAAAAACTACTGCTATAGAGACCAAAATTAATCTTTAGTATGAAAAAGAGCCACAGACGGCCTGCAGAGGTTCACCGACGCCACGTTGCAGCTCCGGATTTGATGATCCAGAGCTTCCAGGTTTAGACTCTGAACTCGCTCCTCAGTCTGGGTGGGAGTCTAGTTTGCAAAGCCCAACTGCCCTTTCTTGTTTTAGTCGTCCGAAAGATTTGTTTTCTTGATGTTCGGGGGGGGGGGTCAGAGAGGCTGGTGCAGCTTAGTCAAAGGGCCTCAAGTGAAGTCTTCTTCCTCAGCTTGCTCTACAGCTGCAGACCTGAGTCCAGAAGTACCTTGTAAGGGCTGCTTTCCAAATAAATAATCCCAATATTCAACCAGGTGTTTTGGAGTTAACGGAGGCCTCCAAGAGTATCAATGCATTCAGAAAATCCCACCTATCTGGTTCACTGAGCACTTTTGGACATTTTTGAGAATTTAAAATGAAAAAAGCAATTTCTTTTGATGGTTTAGATACACAGAATAACACCAAATCGGCCTAATGGTAGTAAATATTAGGTGATAAAAGTTTTAAATTGTTGAAAATGCACAGCTGTATGAACAGTATGCTCCTACAATGTAAGACTTTTACAGATTTTTGCAGTGAGGTGGTTTAAAGTCCAGAAACTCCTCGAGGAAGCCTGACTCTGCAGTCCCCTCTGCTTAGATTCTTTTGGTTTACACTAAACATGGGTGTCTGAGGATCCAAATTAGCAGCTAGAACACACAGTTTAAAGTTAGGTTTCAATACAAATGCCATATAAAGAATTTACACTGAAATATATTTTTACAGATTTTTGAGTTACTATCAATAATTACACCTCTGATGCATTTCTGAGCAGCAACCCTGACAAGCGCTTCTTCACCCAGGTCTGCAGCGGTCGCTCCTCAGCGCCGGACGCTAAAACTTGGGCTGGTAAAGGGCGACGCGTCCGCTGAGGCAGCCCGAGGCCAGCTGGCAGTGCGTTGGGGAGAACTTGGTGGTGAGCACCACGTCGCTGTGCGAGTAGATGGAGCGGATCTCCCTGAGGCAGCTGGTCTGGACGGGCAGGCAGTCGGCCAGCTCGCCGCAGCGCTCGTCGAAGGCCAGCAGCCGGACGCCGTAGCCGTACGGGGAGCAGATGAGCCGTCCGTCCGGGCTGAAGCACAGCTCCTTGATGTAGCCCCGGCCCACGTTGGCCTCCTCGATGTAGTGGGTGAGGCGCAGCGAGCAGCGGGGCGACACCAGCGGCCGAGTGGGCGCGCCCTCCTGGAACTCGTAGACACAAGTCCACTGGAAACAGAAAAGAAAGACGGACAACGTGTTAATCAGGCGGGTGTCGTCTGCGGAAACACACTTGACGCCGATCCAGGAACCACAGGGACAACAACCGACCATTAGTGGCCTTTTACAAGTCGCATAATCACCCGACGGGACTGCACCGAAAGCAAACAGTAAACTGTAATTAAAATGGTTAAATGTGACCAAATGTTAGTTAGGTTTTGTTCTTGGTGACGTGATTTGAAAATCAATTAGGACGTGGTATTCATTATGTGTCTTCTTCTTTCTTTTATAAAAGCTTTGACTTGTGGTTTACAGCAAGAAGTGGAGGCACAGCTTTAAGTTTTTGATATAAATACGTGTGGTTTTAGTCAAACAAAGGAAATCTCTAACCAATCAGCTGGTCATGAAGAAAAAACCCCTGCAGATTACAATAATGAGAACACACTACTTGATAGCCTTGGTAGTCTAAATAATAATAAATGAACATAAAAAGCCAATATTTACAGCAGGTTAAACTATTTCAACATATTTATTTTATACTGCAATGACAATAACGGACTCTCGGCAGACAAGCTGCCCATTTTCATGAGATTTCTGTCATTAAACAACATCAACTCTGTGATTTCAACACAAGAAATATGAAGAAGCAGACCAGCTAGCTGCCGTTTTCAGATGATCTTCTATATTGGTTGTTGAGCTGTCATAGTCAAACTGCTGTTTGGAAAGTTGACATTTAACTTGTGGCCTTCAGTTTGAACGAAATGCAACCACACTGACGACTCTTATGACCCGATGTCAGTTGGTTTGGAGTCAAACGCTCAGTAAATGTTAAATAAGTCGGACCTACAGTCTCCATTAGGTTGGGCGAGTTCAAAATTTGTGGGGAGTTCACAGGTAGTCTGCTCCTCCTGCCAACTAAATCATTATTAGAGGGCTACTGATGCAGAGCTTTCCTCTTCATAAAACCAACACCAGCGACTGTTCAACCAATTAAATTTGGTCAGATGAGTCAGCCTGAAGACAACAGCTCTATAAATTAGTCTCAGAAGCAAATAAACGGCTGCTTTTTGCCACCACAGATGCTCACTAATTGATCAAATAACGGATAAATCATCGAGCTGCAGCTGGTGTCTGTGTTCTCTCCGTTAGAGTCGGCTCAGGTCACCTCACTGATCCTCAGACTGAGGTGTGTGTGACTGCGTTTGGATCTTTCTCTAAGAGCTTTTTCAAAAATTATGGCACACTTAACAAGTTGAGGCAGGTTTTAGGGCCTTTAGAAGACTCTCCATGAACACAGGGGTTAATGCGGCTCCATCCAAAGCAGCTCTAATAATATATCCACGTGTGCATATGGCTGCTGCTGTAGCACGTTCACCTGTATCTGAACTGAAACTGGGTTTTCTTTTTAACGTCATGTAGGAGGCACATGAAGAGAAGTGAGAGTGCAGGGAAGCTTTCGGAGGTGCGTGTAGGTAAACCTCTCAAACCACGTGTAAACTTTAGTAGTAAATTCAAGGTGACAACAGCTGCTACGCATCAAAAACAAGCCACAAATTTCCCCACTGAAGCCTGCTGATGGTGAATTTATGAGATTTTATAGAACGATTCTGCCATTTAGTTTCAGGTCTTCCATCAGAGGCTATAAATTACATATTAGATTTAGATGCAAAGGATGCTTTCAGATCTATAAAACGTGACGAGGGAGGCGTGCAGCGAGGTGGTTTAAAGTCCAGAAACTCCTCGAGGACGCCACTTCTTAGATTCTTTTGGTTTACACTAAACATGGGCATACCGTAATTTCTGGACGATTGAGCGCACCTGAATATAAGCCGCACCCACTAACTTTAAAAAGAAAATTATTTTGTACCTATACAGGCCGCACTTGTCTATAAGCTGCAGGTGTCCACGTTGTAACATGAGATATTTACACAGGAAGATTTTTTTAACTTTTAATTAAATACGTACCGGTAACATACACAAATACGTAAATGCTTTTTTTTCCCAAACAGTGCCTGTAACATGGCTGGTTAAGACAATAAATTATACAGCAGCCTACCAGGAAAAGTCATTGATCGCTATCTTCATCTTCCTCCTGCACTAAAACCACTAAAGTCGTCTTCATCAGTGTCGGAGTTGAACAGCCTCAGAATCACTTCGTCACACACTTCCTCAGTCTCTCTGTCAATGTCACTTTCGTCTCGAGGCAAATTCGTAAAAATCCATAAATCAGCCACATCGCTGTTTAAGCCGCAGAGTTTAAGGCGTGTGAAAAAAGTAGCGACCTATAGTTTTGGAAATTACGGTATTTGGTGTCTGAGGATCCAAATTAGCAGCTAAAACACACTGTTTAAAGTTAGGAGTTGCATTTTGACAGGATAACAAATGCTACATAAAGAATTTACACTGAAAAATGTGTTTTTTGTTTCAGGTGGACAAAAATCCCCTCATTCAATAGCCCCACTGCTCTGCTTCTGTATCACCTCCAGGTTTTCTGAGGAGAAACTTCTCTTTTGGGTAAAACCTAATTCATGCACAGAGTTGGAGTGATTCAGCTGCTTTAATTTCCGTTTGTTATTTTAGACGTTTTTGCTCTAAAACTCTAAGCAAACTGAGAGCTGCAGCTCCTTGTTCCTCACCTCCTGGTCGTCCATGTTGCTGGAGCAGCGGATCAGAGTGGCCCAGCCTTTCGGATGCAGCTGCAGGGAGGTGATGCAGTTCCCTCGGTCCCTCTCTCCTGGGATCTCTGGAGTCAGAACCTCCAGGCTGTTCCTGGGTGAAAGGCCTGCGAGGAACAACGTGTGGTTTATAGTCCAGAACCTCAGGGGACAGGAGTCAGTGTGTTTTATGCCACGTTTGTGTCTCACCTTCTCTGTGAGGGTGGATCTTACTGGAGTCGTTTCCCTGGCGAGGAGTGTTCGCCGACCTGGACGCCGACGTGCCTCCGTCTGCAGAATCACAAAGTGTGTTAAAAGTTGCTTGTTTCTTTTACACAGAAATTGATCTATCATTTAGACAGTAACAGCAAATAAACAATCATCAATGGCCACGAGCTACAATACCAAAATTACCACTTTTTTTTCCCGCCAGAGTTGCATCAATTCACCAATTAACCAATTAGTTAGTTAGCTATTAAATCAACTGTCAACTACTTATAATCAATTAATCAGTAATTGAGTACTTTTCAAGGGAAAAAAAAGTCCATTTTCCAATTTCAGCTCTTTAAATTGAAATATTTGCAGTTTTTTTTTCCTCCTTGTGGACAAAAGAAAACATCTAAACACAGTATTTTGATCTTTGGGCAACAATAATTAACATTTTTCAAAATTTTCTGACATTTTAGAGCAAACAACTAATTGATTCATCAAGAAAATAATCAACAGATTAATCGACTCGGAAAATAAAATAAAATAATCACTAATTGCAGTCCTAATTTTCACCAGACAAATTCATATTCAGAACTGAGCATTTAGGTCCTGATCAAGTAATGCATTGATCAACCAGTTGAGTTGCCATTTTTTATTAGTTAATAGGTGCACAAACAGAACAAAACTTTTTTAAAAATTACCAAAAGCCTGATTTTTTTCAGTGAAAAACGTGAATGTAAGACATGAGAAAATCTTTTTTTTTTCCCCTGTGTGTTTTAATAATATGAGATTTTTTACAAGGCAAGAATTTAAATGGACTTCTGCATTATACAATTTTAACAAAAAGCAACAATGCAGACTTTAAACAACCACTGATGCATGTGAGAACTGTAAAATAAGTTATAATATAAATATTATGAGAACAAAAAAAAAGGAATTTCTTAAGAAAAAAGGTCTAAATTCTCCCAATTCAGCTTCTGCAGTTTGAATATTTTCTGGTTTCTTTCCTCCAGTATGACAGTAAACTGACTATCTTTGGGTTGTGGATGAAATAAGACATTTGAGGATGTTATCTTGGGCTTTAGGAAATATTAATAGACATTTTTAATTAAAAAAAAAAAAACATTTTAGACCGAACAAAAAAAAAAAAAATCTATTAATTGAGCAAATAATTAACAGATTAATCCGTGACGAAAATAATTTATTAGGTAAAGCCCAAATCTTCACAGGATGGAAGATTTAAAAAATATATATATATTTTGACTGACTTTTAAATCCATTTAATATTTGGAGGCTCCTCACAAAGCAAACAGAAAAAATAAACTAAAAAGTCACAACAAAAGCTGATGTTTTCAGTGAAAGTGGGCAGGTGACACTTGTTTTCTTTAATTTCGTGAAGGAAAGAATAAAAATAAACTTCTCCATGGTACAAGTTTAACAAAAAAGCAACAATGTAGACCTTTAGTGAAGCATAGACCATTAAAATAAATGAAAAACACAAGAAAATCAGAATGAGAACCAAAAAGAGCATGTGGTCTGACCTGAGCTGAGGGGAGTCCGTCGCGCTCGCAGCATGCGGTAGCTGCCCACCTCCAGGGACTGGGTGAGGTCCAGGTCGTGGAGGATCAGCAGGTAGCCTGAGGAAGTAGAGATGAGCATCTTGGAACAGTCGGGCGTCAGGCGCATCCTCATCAGGTAGCGAGTGTGGAAGAACTTTTTGTGCGGGCAGCCGTCCTCTGTAAACCTGCAGAGGAAGAACAACGAGGGCAGTTAACAGGCATCTAATTTATGGCTTAATGTTTCTGCTCAGAGCAGGAAGAGGGATTGATCAAAAACAACCAGTTTGGATAAAGGAATAAAACCCCTGAGGAAATGGGTAGTAGAGAAAGTTATTAGAAAGGGGGGAAAAAAAGCTTGAATTAAAGCCAGAAATCCCATTTATCCACCTTTTAAAGTTTTTATTTGATGCAGGGATGAAGGAACAGGGACTGTTAAATAGTCAGTGATATACTGGTTCGACTTTTATGTGCAGCTGCTGGTGCAGGAAGCTGCTGCTTTCCAGGAAGTTTACCACATTTACTGGCATTAGAGTTGAAAAAAAAAAAAAAAAGTCCCCTTACTGAAAACTAACAGAGCACTTATGATACACATCCACTCATCATTCATTTCTTTTATTTAAAACAAAAATATAAACATTTGCTGGTTCATGTGTCTGAAATCTGAAGCTTTTCACTGTTTTATATAAATGCATCCTGACTATTTTGTTTTTTCTGAACTATTTATTGGACTAAAATTATAAACACCTGCATCACTGGGAACCTGTCACAGACATTTTTCTATATATTTTCTGAGTTTTTAGAGCTATACATGTTAACTTATTTCCTCATTTTTAACCCTAAAAAAGGTCAGCAACTCATTTATTTTTATGACATTTTAAGACCAAACTTGACTGACTCATACACAAAGACAAAATGAGCACATTCATGGTAAAACATTACTCATTTACTGTAAAATATTTCTACTTTAGGACTCCTTACCTCCAACATATGGACACTGGATAAAGGATGTTACGTATTATCTACCTTATTTGTAATTTTTCTCTCTTTTGCGTCCCCTTTGACTGGTCTGTCTTTGTTAGTTCTTGTGTTGACGGGTTGTGTTTGTTTATCTGTATGTATTTTATTGAACTATTAACAACAACAAAAAAACGTTAAACAACAAAATGCACTCGCTACAAACGCCGACCGACCTGTTAGTGTCCCACGTGATGACGTTGCCGTCGAAGCCGGACGTGACGAGCAGACGCGTGTTGGTGTCGTACTCGATGTTCTTCACCCAGCTGGCGTGGCCGTGCAGCGAGCACACCTTCGAGTTCAGCTTCCGGAGATCCCATAATGCAATCGTGGTGTCGTCGGAGCAGGTGGCAAACAAGCGATTGTCCAAAAACCTGCAGGAATTTTTGGCATGAGATTCTCAGCAGAGGTGAACTGGCTGCTACACTTCTGACACAAATAAAGACGACTTAAGGGCTCAGATTGTGATGAACATGATGCACGCCTGGTTTATAAACGCTAAGACGAGAGAAACGCACCTTATGTTGTTGACGCAGTCCTCGTGGGCCTCCGTCAGGGTTTTGATGTGTCTGGATGAGATGGGATCGAACAGCAGGACCTCCGTCTGCTCGCAGGCCACCGTCAGCACGGACCTGAGACACGAGAGGACGAAAGGGTTTATCTACTGGGACACAAGGGATGATTTCTGGACACCTATATTCAATTTAAGAAACTATAAATGCAGAGGTACCAGATCCAAAAAGAAGCTGTAACAAATTTCCTTGTAATTTACAGTTAAATACTGGCAGCGACAGCCACCAGTAAGTTTTACCATCATTACATATTTACACAGTTACTTTCTGTAAACAGTATCTGCATCCTACTGTGGAATATATAGTTTACAGCAGAATGTTTTGTTTTCTTAGCAAAAGCACGTTTTAAAGGTACACTGTCTACTTATGTTTGTATTTTAGCACATGTTTTGTACTCATGTTTATATTTTTAGCTCATATTTTTTTGCCTTATGTTCATATTTTAGTTCATATCTTGTTATTGTGTCTATGGCTATTTACCTAAACCATTGCTTGCTCTATAACCGATTTCAGCCAAATATGAGTTTCACGATTTAATACTGTGACTGCACTCACCAGTAATATGCTTTATCTATTTATATGGTGTTGCCAATATTAACTGAGACTGTAGTTGCCTGTAAATTAAAACATTTTTTATTCTTCTGGCTGCAAGGTGGCTCGGTGGTTAGCACTGTTGCCTC